GCAGGAGAATTGCCTGAACCCAGGAGGCGGAGGTTGCGGTGAGCCGAGATCGTGCCATTGCACTCCAGCCTGGGTAACGAGAGCGAAACTCCGTCCCAAAGAAAAAAATAAAAAATAAAAATAAAACACTGCAATGGATGTCTGCATTTATATTGTTTTGAGAGATTTGGTAAGTTCCTATGGCAGAGAATAAAGCTTGATTCCACTTGATTTCCAGAGTTGATTACACTCACTGAATGCAAAGTACCTGCTTTATCAGTGCCTTCCTAGTCTATAATATTTGTTCATTTAAAGTGTTTACGTAATTTGAATTTCTTTGCAAGATAATGAGGAACATAATACATTATACATTACTTGCTAATTGTTTCTTGTGTCTGCCTCTTTTGCTCTTGCCTTCTTACATTTTCCTTTAAAATACGGGGTAAACATGAAGACATGACGGGAAGAAAATCAGAACACATTTGAAATTGACACCATTTATTGTTTTAGGGCCAAAGAAGAGTGTCAGAGAATACATATATTGGGCGGGTCCCAGAAAGTGTCTGCCGTCTTCCCCAATTTAATTCTTCGTCCTGGCCTAACGGAAGGCAGACAGCGGGCAGGAAGGTGGTGTCTTCAGGAGAGCAGGTTCTCAGATACCCTGCAGGGTACGCTCAGAGGAAAGTGGCAGGGCTTGGGGAGGGGAGTCGGTGGAGCCAAATGGAGCCCTTTTCCAGACAGGTGACATGCCATTCCGAGTGAGGTCATCTAGGAACTCTGCAGGGCTGAGGTTCTCAGCTGAGGTGCTCAAGGGCGCTGGAACGATGTTCCCCACTTACAGCCCATTCCCCAGTGCAGGAAGCCAGCCACGGAGAATGGAAGAAGAACTGAAGCTGGGGCTGGGGTGGTGCGGGGCAGAAAGACAGCCATGATGGGTCAGTCCTGGTGGCCCCAGCATCGGACGTGGAGGTCACTTTGCTCTTTCATGGCTGGTCCCTGTGGTGTGACATTGATAGCACCCGATGTACAAATTTCCTGTTGGGCAGCTCACGGCATTCCCAAAGGCATGGGCAACTCAGTGCTAGTTGGCTGGGTTTAGGATAGGCCTGACCATAAGCACAGGCATTTCACGTGCTCCTGGAATATCAGAACAGAGAGCAGCCCTTGAGAGGCTGGAACACTCATCTTCCCGATGAGGCTACCGTTGCCCAAGTTGGAAAGGAGCTCAAGTTCCTGCTTCACTTCTCCCCGTTTAAAAGCCAGTTTCCATCAGATGAATGAGCCTCCCACTCTTGCACCAAGATTATGCAGGAAAAAGATGGGAGCTGGGGGCTGTGCAAAAAACAAGGAATTGGAAGAGTGTGGCAGTCCAGAAGCTGTCCCGGGATCCCTGGCTCTTCTGAGCATGGGGCCCCGATGGACAGTAAAGAGATCACTGGAACGCTGGGCTGGCTGGAGGAAACAGTGAGGCTGAGTCAGTCCTCTAAGGAAGTGAAGTCTAAGGAGGCAACCCTTACAGTTAAGGACAGTCAACGTGATTAAACAAAAGCCTCACCAAGCCTGCCTCCTGTCTCTGGCCCCCCGCCCAGGTTCTCAGTTGCTCCTACCCATGTCAGAGCGCCTCTTCACACCTGTGTGTCCCTTACTGGGAATGCTTTCCCCATCACCTAGTCTGCTATACCCTTTCAGATTTCAACTCATAGGTCACCTCCTTGGGGAAACCTTCTCTGGCTACTCAATGAACTCTGCAACACCCCATTCCCTGTGGGATGACAGGCGTGATCACTGGATTAAGGGTCCACTCCCCATTAGCCTGGAAACCCTCAGGCAGGGATCGTGTCCGTGATGCTCAGCCCTGTCTCAGCAGCGTCGGGTCCGGCACCTGACACGTCCCAGGCACTCCATAAGTACTTCCTGGCTGAAGGAATGATTAACTGTAGGAAGACATTTTCGCTGCAATATGAAACAAATATAACTTTCCTCGGGTTCTGTGGCTTCTGCCAGCCATTTCAAAATCTGGTTACAAACTAGCAGCCATGACCCCTGCCTTTTTTGCTTCCTCCCAAACCTAAAAGAAACCAAGTTATAAAATCCAAGGCTTTGCGCTTCAGTGAGGAAGTCACACACCTAAGTGGATCACCTGGATCTTCACTTTCTTTTTTGACATGGAGTCTCTGTTGCCAGGCTGGAGTACAGTGGTACAATCTCGGCTCACTGCAACCTCCGCCTCCCAGATTCAAGTGATTCTCTTGCCTCAGCCTCCCAAGTAGCTGGGATTACAGGCGCACACCACCGCACCCAGCTAATTATTTTTAGTAGAGACAGGTTTTCGCCATGTTGGCCAGGCTGGTCTGAAACTCCTGACCTCAGGTGATCCGCCCACCTCATCCTACCAAAGTACGGAAATTACATGTGTGAGCCACCGCGCCCAGCCTGGATCTTCGCTTTCTAATCAGAGAGCAGCCTGGGCTTGTGGCAGGCCCCCTTCCCAGACAACCCAAAGCGAGGAAGTTGCTTGCTCCATCCAGGAGGAATTGCTGTTCTGGAGACCATGCCCCTGGGCCCCAGTAACAGTCTCGCAGACACCTGTCAGGCCCCTTCTCTGCAAAGCCTCAGCAGAAGGATGCTCTCACCCCCGCCTCCCTGTGTGCAGAGAGAACCCCTCCAAAGAGGATGCTCCAGGGAGCTGCCCAAACAGCGCTGGGACTGGTGGAGTCAGGGCAGCGCTGGAGGACTTTTCTGCCAGGTGGCTCGGGCAGTGGCGAGGGATGAGCTCCAGGCTTCTCACCTCGGGTTTACAGGGAGACCACTCAGATACAGTGGGGTAGGAGAAAAGAGCTAAGGCAGCTCCCAAGCCCGGTACGGAAATGTACTTTATGTCCATTTTTTTGTTTTTTGAGCTAGGGTCTCGCTCTTTTCTCTCAGGCTGGAGTGCAATGGCGCGATCTCGGCTCATTGCAACCTCCACCTTCCGGGTTCAAGCGATTCTCTTGCCTCTGCCTCCTGAGTAGTTGGGATTGCAGGCGCCCACCACCACACCTGGTTAATTTTTGTATTTTTAGTAAAGACAGGGTTTCACCCTATTGGATGGGCTGGTCTTGAACGACTGACCTGGGGTAATCCGCCCATCTCAGCCTCCCAAAGTGCTGGGATTACAGGCATGAGCCACCGCGCCCGACCATGTCTGTTTTTGACAGAGGAGACTCAGTCTTTTTTTTTTTTTTTTTTTTGAGACGGAGTCTCGCTCTTGTTACCCAGGCTGGAGTGCAATGGCGTGATCTCAGCTCACCGCAACCTCCGTCTCCTGGATTCAGGCAATTCTCCTGCCTCAGCCTCCTGAGTAGCTGGGATCACAGGCACGTGCCACCATGCCCAGCTAATTTTTTGTATTTTTAGTAGAGACGGGGTTTCACCATGTTGACCAGGAGGGTCTCGATCTCTTGACCTCGTGATCCACCCGCCTCGGCCTCCCAAAGTGCTGGGATTACAGGCTTGAGCCACCATGCCCGGCTGAAGAGACTCAGTCTTAAGCGCCAGCATCAGGAGAAGTTCATTACTTGAGTGAATGTGTAAGGATCCAGGCGAGTTCTCAGCAAAGTCAGGGGGACTCTTGCATTAGTTAACACTGGCTGCCTCTGGGGTACGGGGACGGGGAGGGTTGCTTTTCACTGACTATTCTTTTGCACCTTTTAAATTTTGAATCATGTAAGTATTACCTAGTCAAAATATTTTAACCTAAATCAGCTGAGCATACTGCTAGGTTCAGGGTGGGGAGGAAGCCTCTTGTTCTGTTGATAGCATGCATATAAGTCTGACCTCGAAATTGGCTCCATCCACCAAAGCTGGCCTTTCCCCCCCGCAGAACCAAGGCTTCCCAAATGTCACTGTGTGCACAAATCACCTTGGAATCCTACTGAACCACAGGTTCTGATTTAGGAGGAGGAGGGAGGGGCTTGGGACCTGCATTTCTAGCAGGCTCCAGTCCCTGGACCCCACTTTAAATAGCAAGGGTCAGCCGGGCACGGTGGCTCATGCCTGTATTCCCAGCACTTTGGGAGGCCGAGGTGGGTGGATCACCTGAGGTTAGGAGTTCGAGACCAGCCTGGCCAACATGGCAAAACCCTGTCTCTACTAAAAGTACAAAAATTGGCCAGGAGTGGTGCCAGCCTGTAGTCCTAGCTACTCGGAGGCTGAGGCAGGAGATACACTGAACCCAGGAGGCAGAGGTTGCAGTGAGTCGAAATGGCACCACTGCACTCCAGCCTGAGTGACAGAGCAAGACTCCATCTCAAAAAGAAAAAAAAAGCAAGCCTGTACAGCAATGGAGGGAGACCACAGCTGAGGGGGAGCAGGTAGGTGTGGCCGGGGTACGGGAAGCAAGGGCCTCCCTAACTCAGCCCATTTACACCTTGTGGGTGGCACCATCCTTGATCTCGTTAGCACCTCAGGTCCCGCCCCTGATGAATGGGAAGCCCAGCAGTGCCAACACAAATGCACCTCCCATCCGGGCAAGTCCATATTGCCCCAGCTTCCCGAGGCTGCGGGGAGTCCGATGGAGCAGAGGCCTCCCTGCCTCCCCTTCCCCATCTTACCTAGACTCCCCTGGAGCTGGCTTCTCCTCCTAAGAGCCAGCTGCCCCCTGCCTCCCGACTGGTCCAGTCCTCTCCCGCTTGCCTCCGTGGCCACCTTTAAATTTATCCTTGGACAAGGCCAAATGTCCCGCTGGGTGCTAACAGCTTTCTCTCAGCCACCATCATTCTCTGCAGGGATTTCTGAAACTCTGCTAGAGGCTAGGAAGGCCAGCAGAAGTGGCCGCGCCTGGCTGTGACGCCTCGGTTGGCTCTGGAGGAAGCACACGCAGGCCCTCCCTGAGGGCAAGTCAGCCACTCGTTTAAGCACCTCTTGGATGGGGCCCAGCACACAGCATGCATGGACACGTGTTTATTGCACTCGTGAATGAGCGAAGGTGCAGCCAGGTTGTTCAGAGAAGATTAAAACACTAGTTCCACTCAGGCCCTGGCCTGCCCCTTTCCCTGGACACCTGCTCCAGGGACTTCTTCCAGCTCTGAGTCCCTCTGGCCGTCGGGAGGCTCCCCTCCTCACACAACGAAAGCTTGCAGCAAGAACCCAGAGTGCAGGAGAGAGGGCCTGGACTCCTCTTCCCAGTTCACAGCTGCGGCTGGTTCTGGCCCCAACGTCTCCGGCGACACTGATGGTGGCCGACAGCCCTGGCTACGTCTCCACCACCTGCGGGGTCTGCCGCTGCTCCTGATCCGCCTGTGTCTTCCGAAGGGGGCCAGACCTGTGTGTGGGCGGGAGGGGCGCACAGTGCAGAGGACTGTTGGAGCCGGAGGGTGGGCTGGCCTCCGCAGAGGCAGCAGAGCTCTCGGCAGCACCGCAGACAGAGTGTTCAGAGAGAGCGGCAGTGTGCCGGGGCTCCTGCGAAGCGAGCACGTGGAGATGCTCGGGCAGAAGCCGCTGGAGTCGCCCTGGCAAGGAGCAGAGGGAATTGCCGTGGCAGCCGGAGCTGGGCCCGTGAGTCCGGAGCCGCCCACAGCCGCAGCGAGGCTCAGCCAAGACAAGCCAGGTGGCGGGGCTTCCTGCTCGCTCACAGTAGGAGCTCAGGTGAGCACTCAGGAAGGGATTGCTCAGGGAGCACGGGAGGGCTGCCGGGCTCTGGGCCTGCCCCATCCGGGCCTCCAGCCTCCAGCCTCCTTCCCCGCCGCTACAGCCCTTGCCTCTCTCTCTCCTCTCTCCTCTCCAGCCCCATCTGTTTCTCGCTCCTCCCCTGCCTGGGCCCAGCTCCCAGCTGGACGCTGCCAATCCCTGAACCGGCAAGGAATGAAAGCTGGGGCCGGGGCAAAGGCCATCCAGGAGCCCAGTCTGACTGAGCAGGAGGTGTCCAGCCCCCACTGGGAGGGGAAAACACGGAAAACAAGGCACAGAGAGGGCCAGGCTCCTGCTCACTGCGCAGGCACACTGCGAGCCAGACATGGAGCAGGCCCCGGACAGGCCCCGAGCCAGCCAGGCGCCCTCCCCACGCAGGCTGGGCCGCGTCTGCACAGAAGCCAGCACCCGCAGGAAGCGCGGCCTAAGGACCCCCTGGCAATACGGCCAGCACCCTCTCGAGGAGGCCGGGGCAGCCCCAGGATCACACACAGAGGAGGGACGGAGGGGAGTGGTCATCTGACCGCAGCGCAGAGATATCTGGTGAAGGCAGAGACTCAGGAGACCCCCATCCTACAGTCACTGCCCGATTCAGACCAGCTCTGCATTCACCAGCTGTGTGACTTGAGCAAATTACTGAGCCTTTCTGTGCCTCAGTTTCCTCATTCATAAAATGGGGAAGATCGATGTCCACCTCATTTAGGTAGCTTAAAGGGTTAACATATACTGAGAGTACAGAGAGCGGGTGCCCTGTAACGGTGCTGTTATCGTCTGAGCGCTGGCGTGGCGCGGCACGCACCCCTGGCCATCCGGGGACTCGGCAGCTAAGGGGACCGGTTCTCGGGCTCCCTGCCCAGCAGTGCCTCACCTGCTGGGCTGCAGGATCTGCGGGCACACGGAGCCATTCCCCTTCTGACCGCTGCTCCCACGCTCTGCCTCGAGTGGCTCCTGCGGCCCCTGCTGCTCCGGCATCCCCAGCAGCCCTGGCCCAGATGTGAGCTGCTCAGACAGCCCCAGCCCCGATGCCTCGTCCTCGGCCTCCTGGGAACTGTCTTCTAGGCCCCTGGACGAGACACAATCTGTTAACCGGGATGGCCCTGCGTGGTGCCTCTGAGACGGGGCCTGGGAGAATCGCTGCCCTGCAGGCCCCCTGCATCCTCCAGCAGCACGCTGAAGACTGTGGGTGGGGCTCAGCCTGTGGCCAGGGTCGGGGCAAACCCTATAACCGAGGGCTGGGGTTCAGGCCGCAGCTGGGGTTCCATCAAGGCGAATGACACAGGCAGCCCCTACACCCACTGTCCCAGGCTCTGGGGGCACCGAGCGAATACTAAGGTGTCTGTCCCAATTCCCATTCGGATCTCCACGCCTCCAGAAAGCCTTCCCCAAAGGCCACAACCCCTTCCCTCCCCTCCCACCCAGTCATCGGGGTTCCCCACCCATGCCGTGCTCTGCACTCAACACACACCCTGCCAAACCCGTGGCCCAGCAACCTGCCGCAGAAGAAAATGCCTGTTTTTCCTTTCCTTTACCACTCAGCGTCCCTCAACCCAGACCACCAGGACCACTAAGTCCAAGAACCCTCAAACAGAAGAGCTGCAGACACCACACCATTCGTAAACCACCTCTCATCCCCCAGAGAGAGCAGCCAGGGCCCAAGCAGGCCTGGGGCAGGTGCAACATCAGGTGGAGACTGAACTCCGCCTCCCGCCTCCCACCACAGCGCCCTCTCCTTCCACGGCTGCCGAGGCCCAATCCAGTTCTGTGGAGCATGGACTCCAAACGCTCCTCTCCCCCCACCCTCCAGCCCCTGCTACCCACCCCCACCGCCCACAGCAAATTGGTAAAGGCTGGACGCCAGCGGGGTGCTCCACATGGCTGCCCCCAGCGGAGCTGACCTCACTTCCTCGTACTTCTTGTCGCGGTAAAACTCTCTCTTTTTGATGAGGTAGATGAGTACCAGGTCGCAGAAGAAAGCCCCCTGCAAAAGAGTTGAGGGCCCGGATTCAGAGTCCCAGGCTCCCGGGAGCACTGGCCATTTGGAAGCTTCGTCCCCTTCGTCCCCTTTGATCCTGTAACAGTCCTTAAGGGAGGCACCACTGTCCCCACTTAACAGATCAGGAAACTGGGCTCGGGAAGGGGTATCCTTGTCTGAGAACACAAAGTGGGTCCATGCTGGAGCCTGAGCTGGACTGGCGCTCCCAGATCCCTCAGGCCGGGCACTCCCGACCCCACACCACCCAGACCCTACCCAATTGCTCCTTCAGCACATTTGCTGGGCACCCACACGTGCCAGGGACTACACTGGGGTGCTGGGGGGATCTGGACTAGAGAGACCTTCTGGGGATTCTCCCTCTGGTGCAGGAGACAGGTGTGTCAATTACGACCCAGACAGGACTTGACTCAGCCTGGGGAGGGTCCCTCTCTGTCCTTAAGGACTGAATAGGAGTTTACACGAGACAAAGATGCAGAAGGGCATCACGAGGGAGGAACAGCCGGTGCCCGGGAAGCAGGCCAGTGCGGGAAGAGTGGGAAGTGGTGGGTGGGGACCGGCCTACAGGCTCCTTAGGATGTTTCCGGGGCATTGGTCCTCATCCTTTAGGTGTGGCAGAGGCACCATGCCAGAATGTTGGCATTTACAAGGATCCCTGTGGCAGTCAGTGTGAGATGGGCTGGAAGGGTTCTAATCAACAAAGACACTATCGTGCCTCAAAGAAAGGTGATGGATGATGGGTGCCGGGCAGGGTGGCTCACGCCTGGAATCCCAGCGCTTTGGGAGGCCGAGGCGGGCGGATCACCTGAGGCCAGGAGTTCAAAACCAGCCTGGCCAGCATGTTTATATAAAAATATAAAAATTAGCTGGGCGTAGTGGCAGGTGCCTGTAATCCCAGCTATTCGGGAGGCTGAGGTAGGAGAATCGCTTGAACTCAGGAGGCGGAGGTTGCAGTGAGCCGAGATTATGCCACTGCACTCCAGCCTGGGCGACAGAGCAAGACTCTGTCTCAAAAAAACAAAACAAAACCAACCAAACAAACGAAAAGAAAAATGATCGGTGAATGACCGTGCTCGGCCCCTCCCTCCTGAGCGGGTGGGACCAGAGCGGGCCATGCAGCTGCCCCTCTCCTCCAGCAGAGGGCGGCTCCACCCACAGACAGGGTGGGTGAGCAGGGTGGAGGTGGGGAGGGCTGGTGTGGATGGGCCCACAAGGAATCCTGCCCCCGACTGTGGGTGCTGCACCACTTCCTCCAGATCCCAGAAGTGTTGTTTACCCACTCCCTGCTCCCCAGAGACCACCCCCACCCCTAAGCCTGACCACCAGCTCTTCCTGCACCATCACCTCCAGTTCAGGGGTCTGTCCGCAGACGCCCTGTGCTCACATTTTACTCGCATCACAAGAAAATGATGACCGGGCCAGGCGCAGTGGCTCACGCCTTTCATCCCACACTTTGGGAGGCCAAAGCGGGCGGATCACCTGAGGTCAGGAGTTCAAGACCAGCCTGGCCAACATGGTGAAACCCTGTCTCTACTAAAGATACAAAAATTAGCTGGTCGTGGTGGCGGGTGCCTGTAATCTCAGCTACTCGCAAGGCTGAGGCAGGAGAATCGTTTGAACCGGGAGGTGGAGGTTGCAGTGAGCTGAGATCACGTCACTGCACTCTAGCCTGGGGGACAGAGCGAGACTCTGTCTCCGGAAAGAAAGACAGAAAGCGGGGAGGGGGG